CGAAAGGAGTATTGGATTTTTCTAATTGATGGGAAATAACTGATTTTTGAAACTGTAAAATATCCTCATTTTYTCCATACCATTAAGCATCCATTTTCAATAAGCAAGGCCAACCCTAGGCTCAGTCTCCAGCCGTCGGGATTTCGTGCGCCCGCGATACTCTCTCCCCTGACGGCTGGGCGCATGAGGTTCGCTATTGTCAGTCTTGACCAATCAGCGAGTGGCCCCGGTATTTTGAGGGGCATATCATTAATAAATTAGCAGGCAGCAGTGTAACAAAATGGCGTACAATTCGTCGTTTGAGATTCTCTTTGAAAGTGCTTGTTTGAAGGCTCTGAAGTCGTTTAGCTTGGACGAATTTAGAGAAATACAGCAAAAGGCTCTTAAAGAGATTGTTCTTGGAAAAGATGTCCTTGTTATTCTTCCTATCCTGGCTCGGGCAAATCTCTTATTTTTCAAACAGCGCCACTAGTGTATTTTGCTCGTTTTTCTGGCAGATAATACATCCATTTGGATTATTAAACCCTGCACATGTTTTATTTGGGGTAATTTCCATTCCTTTCTCTTTTTTAAAGCGCTAACTATTACATTATATCGCTACTTCGCGAAGTTTTCATTTCACATAATTTCACGCCTTGTAGCAAAACCTTTACGGCTGTTGTCAGATATTTCACTTCCGTTCACTGAAAAATTCACTTCCGTTACGTCATAATATGCTAATTACACAAAAACGTCACGGACATGCGCGACACGTTTCGAACCCCATGCGCCCAGCCGTCAGGGGAGAGAGTATCGCGGGCGCACGAAATCCCGACGGCTGGAGACTGAGCCTAGGCCAACCCAAAAATTGGAATTTTTTAATTTAAACAGCGCAATCGCCGTTTGCTGTTGTCACCGGACAACGTTTTTTGATATAAGTGTGATATAATGTCATTTCTTTATGTCCGTAATGTGCGTAATTCAGTTTTTGAAACTGAACGTCAGTTGATTAAACAGTGACATAAAAACGACTTATTTCAGCCTTTTAACAAGTAGTGCAAGATATAATTGGTTGCTTAGAAAAAAAAGCTGATTTTACAATTTCAGTGTCGTACAAGTCACAAATCAAGGGTCGTCTCCGAACAGAATTGACA